TTTCCTCATGCTTACACTAGTGCTGAGAGAAATTTTTCACCAAAAACCACTTTTTCCCCCACACACAAAAATGAAGATTTGAGTCAATCAAAACACTTCGCAAATATTTTGCAAAATTCTTTTGGTAAACTAAAAAAATTATGAAAACCCCCTTCCATGTTTTTATTTTTTGATTCAAAACTACTTTGTTTAGAAAGTTACTTCTATTATGTTTTTTAAAAAGCACAAAAAACTAAAACAAAATGTTTTGTTTGACCTGAGATTAAGGTTTTTGATTTTTTGGAATGGCCAAACTGAAAAAGTCAGTTACTTGCACAGCTATAGCTTACACTACTGTAAATCCTTGATTCAGACCAGCATCACTATTCAGGACCTCATAAAGCATCTCCTGGACTTTAAGCAGATGCTTAAGTTCCACTGAAGTTAAGCAAGTGTTTACATGCACTCCTGAACAGGAATTAATTTAAGAACATGCTTAAATGCTTTACTGAGTTGGGGCATTTTCCAGGGGGGATAAACTGAAGGCAGTGGGGATAAACTGGTGTAAGTGAGAGGAGAATCTGGCCTGCATGTCTTAGGCCTCGTCCACACTACCGGGGGAGATCGATCTAAACTATACAACTTCAGATATGTGACTCCCCTTGTGCTTCTCATTCAGGTGGAGTACAGGAGTCAATGGGAGAACAATCTATGGTCACTTTAGTGGGTCTTCACTAGACCCACTAAATCAACTGCTGATGCATCGATCACCATGCATCAATCCCCCAGTAAGTGTAGACAAGTCCTTAGTTTCTTTCTAACAGGTTGTAAGAAATATCTGAAGCCCTCAGAAAAGCTTTTTGAAGAGAATAGGATACATCTGAGAATCTATGAACCACTGTATGGACTGAAACAGAAAAACACTTGTGGAGAGTTGTCGGAAAAAACTAAAACATCTGAAGAAGCATAGAATGTATTAACCCCTTTTCTTGCACAGAAAGGAGCTTTGTGCACAAACTGCTGGAGAACTGACCAGGTACAATTGCTGGAAGGTGAGTGGGCTGAAAGAGGTTGAGATTCTGTTAACTTTATTTGGAGAGTGAGAAAGCATTCCCGACACATTAATGTGTGTGTGAAGTAGTCAGGGTCTCTTGTTCTTCTTTCTGGAACAATTAGAGTGGAAAGTTTTTTCTGGGTGCCTGCATTAAAGAGCTCAGACCTGCACTCCTTACTGAGGGACACCACCCCTTGAAGTCAAAAGATGTCTCAATAAATTGGGAATGCAGGATCATGGATGAGGCACTGGACCTATTGAAGTCAATGTGAGTTTTCCTATATTTAACTGTGCACTCCTAGAGCAATCCTATCAGACGAACATGGCTGCTACTCTGAAACCTATCAGTTAAGTATTTTCAGCCATAAAATTCAGTGATCGACTTGCTTTTGTCCTTTTTACAAACTCCATAGGTAAGCTAAGAACATTTTCTAAGAGGTTCTAACAGCATAAGGTAGCTGCCACATATTCTGCTCTCTCACATAATGTCAATATTCAGTTCTACCATACTTTATTAAACAAATTATTGTTGTTCATTAACAGCTTTACCTCAAGATGTTGGGTTGGATTCTCTGCTCCACCAAGTTCAAAACCAGCCAGAGGGTTGCCCTGGAGGATTCTTCAGCCTGTAAGAGGAATCTCTGGGTATGTCTACACTGCAATAAAACAACTCGAGGGCTGGCCTGTGTCAGCTGACTTGGGTTTGCGGGGCTTGGCCAGTGGGGTTATAACATTGCAATGTAGGCATTCAAGCATGGGCTGGAGCCCAGGCTCTGGGATGCTCTGACAGTGTAAAACTGTCAGAGGCTGTTTAGCGCCTTCCTGTGCCAGCTGCCCACGCCATCTGTGGTATAAGGGGGAGAAGGGGACATGAGAGGAGCAGTGTATCATGGAGCTCCACTACACCTGATATACTCCACTGACACAAGGTCTGCCTACGTATTCTAGAGGTGGAAGTTAGAACAGCAGAGTGCGTACTCTAACTTCCACTGGCCACATGGCAGAGGATGAAAAGACACTGTAGCAGCTCCCTGGAATTGCTACTTTGTGATGCATCCCAAGTGCATCAGGGACATTATTTCTAGTCTTAAAATGTCAGAATCATCTTGAATTGCAATACTAGTGAAGCTCCTATAAGTCAGTCTAGTGTCTGCCCAATGCTCTCTTTCAAAGCATATATTCTACTATTGAATACCTTTCTCATACCATTATTATAGCTTCAAAAGTGATCTTGATCAACATGTGTGTTCGCGTGCATGCACTTTATATGATATAACACACACAAATTCTTTGAGTCTATTTCGACTGCTATATTTGAGGGGTTTAATTAGGGTTATATTAATATCCAGATTTTTAATTTTGGCATGAAGCAATTTATTGCTGGTCTCAGTTCATTTAGTCATGTTCAAAAAGTGTTTAATATCAAATGTCTAAGCATCATTTTTTATACTTTACCATGTTATTTTGTTCTTAACAATGTTTTAATCTGTCTTTCCCCAACTCCTCCCTCATTTCTTTTGAGCTCTCTCAAATCCAGAAGTATAAACTAAAGTGTTTAGCTATCAACTCATACAATTTGGATAACATTATTCTTCCTGCACCAATGTACCATTCTAGGTTCACTTCTGTCCTATGTATTTTACCACAGATGCAGTCGTATTCTACATAAAAGGTTTTTGCTAATGCTGTTGTCCAACTCCCATTAAAATCAATTGGCCTGAATTGCCATTACATTAAATAAAATCTGCACCTGTACAAAGTGAAAGTCTGCGTAAGGTTTAAGCCAGTGAAGAATCCAGCCTAATGATATCTTTATGTTGACTTAAATGGGGTTGGATTGGGAACAGAGCTGTACTGAATTAAAGTCAGGATCCACAAAAATAGCTACAAATAGGGCAAAAAAGTGAGCTATTTCCAAGTTTTACTTTACCCCAGCACACACCCCAGCTTCACAGAAAACCTTCAGACAAGACCAACAGTTTTTCATAGAAAACTTTTGCATTTCTTCTGAGCATATGGCACACTTCCATTTTGGTATTCAGTACTAACCATCAGTATTTACATGGAATGTGAAGACCTTCAAAGAACTAAAGCAAGTTCTGAAGTTAAAAGATTTAATAATTTTTTTAAAGGACTGAATCATGACATGGGGAGGCAACAGACCACAACTTTCTTGTGCCAGCTTCATCCTCCTTTCTCCAAACTTTGCAGATAGACTTAGTTCTGCCTCTACTTCTGGTCTTCCTGAAGGGTGTAGTAGATCCTCTCCTGAAATGTGGCTCAGGGACCTTCTCTCTCTCAGCCAATTCAACACTTTCTTCAAATGTTATTACAGGCCCAGCTTTTTCTCCCTGGCCTTTTTCACTTCTTAAGCCTCTAAACAATCACATCTTCCTTCCCTAACCATCTCATTTCCCCCAGCTCCCAAATATTTGACATTCTCCCAAATACTAGGTCAGATCACCTCCATCCATATTACATCAGCAGATGCAGCGCACAGTTTACAGTACCATACATGCTAGTGAACTTCTTTCCAGAAACTTCTTTCCAGTAAACTTCTTTACATTCTGTATGGAACGTGAAGACTTAGTGGCAAATTGGTATGAACAATGCTGTACAAAACCAAACTGTATTAATTTAGATACTGTCTTGTAATTCCTTGCATAATGACAGGTTTCAGAGTAGCAGCCGCGTTAGTCTGTATTCGCAAAAAGAAAAGGAGGACTTGTGGCACCTTAGAGACTAACCCATTTATTTGAGCATGAGCTTTCGTGAGCTACAGCTCACTTCGCCCATTTTTTCATGGTCTGTGTGTATAAAACATCCTCACTGCATTTTCCACTTTATGCATCCGACGAAGTGAGCTGTAGCTCACGAAAGCTCATGCTCAAATAAATGGGTTAGTCTCTAAGGTGCCACAAGTCCTCCTGTTCTTTTTGTCTTGTAATTATTGAACAGACATATAGGGTATAATCCGAAGCCCACTGAAATCAGTGGAAAGATTCCCATTGACTTCAGTGACCTTTGGACCAATAACATAGTGCTTGCACTACCATGATACAGAATAAAATGGCACTGGAGAGGTGAGAACCTTGCAACTGTCTATTTATTGCAGAAAGATTATCTCAAGCTCTTCTTGCCCTTGCTTGCTCTGCATATCGTAGATAACTGCTCATGGGAATAATTGCCTTCAGTGTTATTTCTGAAAGGAGGATTTCTTTTAAGAATTCAGAACCAACAGGAAGCTATGTTAGGTGTTAAATGCAGAATGGATTTTCTTGTATGTGCTATATATACTGGAAATGTTTCTGATGACTAGCCCAGTCGCATTACCCGTCCAAGTCTGCTACATTTATTTTTGTTAATCTGTAAAGAATCTCTCTCTCGCACTCAAAATCAAAACATCTAAAATAAAACTTGTGTAATGACACATAATGACATGTAATGCATGCATAAAACAGACATTTGTACATTAAAATCAGGTAGTTATGCAAGGTTGATTCTAGAGGGCAAAGTAATAAAATATGACAATTTCACATCAGTTCCAAGCATGAAAGTCATAGTCATTATTATATATATACTATGTTGTATATTGACTAATGAATGGAAGTGAAGAAATCAGGCAAGACTATCTGTTTTATGCAGGTTCAAAAGAATACTTTCAATTATTTTTCATGCTGTTTAGTTTTAAAAAACTCTGTTTAAAGATGAAAAATAGAACAGCAAAGTAAAGAAAACTTTCTATTGTAGCTAATCAAATATCCAGGGTGAATAAAATTGCCTTTTACTTATATTTAATTGCTATAATTGCCATCAATGCAATTAAATGCAGATAATTATCTTGGAAAACAAGTGAAAAAAAAGTCACTTATCTGTAATGAGGAAAATGGTCAGTGTAATGGCAGAGTTATATATTTAACTGGCTATTAATGTGACATCACAAAATCATATTTTTTGACATTCTGACCTTCTGTAGATGGAGATGGTTTACTCCCGTACCCTTGACCTTCTGTACCCTTGACCTTGGATTTACTTGATGTTTCCTTCTTTCTTTCTAGATCTTTAACTACAAAGATAAAAGGAAATGTATCAGACTGGGAAAAGCTTAGTTAAATGTATCATATTCTTCCCCCATACCAGAATCTTCATGCAACATTTGTACAATTTGCTTATGCAGCAAACGGCAATTGGGTTGTTTGTTTTCTAATCTCAGTCATGTTCTTGGTAGGTATTGGTGAGAGTGACTCCTCACTCAGGAGAGTCCCAGCACAGGGACATCAGTATCAGGACCTAAGTTGCTTCTACTAGCAGAACCCAAAGTTTAGGAGAGCCTTTGGTGATGGAAAATCTGCCCAGAGGAAAGACACAGGAGTGCAAACCTCCTGCTCCACCACCCCAGACAATTGGCCAGGATGGCTAGAGAGTGGGAATGGGTCAGGAGGACAGAATTCCTCTCCAGTCTCTGGCACCTGGTGAATTAATGCCAGCTACTATATCCCTCCATGAAGCCCATGCCTTGGGCTGCCTCCTTCCTGCCTTCTTCAGGGCACCACACACTCCCACAGGAGTAGGACAGGTCCATAGCTCAGACTCCCATTGTGCCTAGCCCTCACATGGGCTAAACAAGTTAGGGGTGGGTGTGAAGGCTCCTTACACCCTTCCCTCATCCATAGCAGGGAGAATTCAGCCTGTTTAGTGATTCCCAACTTTGTATTATAGGCCAGAGGGATAATTGTGATCATCTAGTCTTTGCATCACCCTGTTCTTCCCACCGAGAAATATTGTGGCAATATCACATCTAAAGCCCATATGAATGCAGTCAACTTTGTGTGCGATATAGTTTTTCTACAACAAACCCTCTCAGAATTGTTTTAGGAAATTAATTGGTGTTAACATCCATGCAGCTGCCACAGTGGCTAATGATCTAATATGCCACCTTGAATAGCTTTCAGTCTTGCCAAGAAGGGATGTGTTTTTCCTGTGGCAACAGACATACGTACTTATAAAGAACAGAAAATAAATTCTACCCAGATTAAAGCCTTTAATTTATATAGGGCTGATTTATGACCAGCATTGATCATTATTTATATTATACTGTGCATAGAGGCCCCAGCCAAGATCAAAAGCCTCCTTGTGCTAGGCATTAACACATAGTAAGAGAGACTCTCACTGCCCCAAAGAGCTTACAAGATAAATAGACATGACAGGTGAAGGATAGAGAGGAAATATTATCCCTGTTTTGCAGAACTGAGACCAGAGATATTAAATAATTCACCCAAATTCCCAGACACTGCCTGTAACAGAGCCAGGAATTAAACATAGATCTGTTGAATCACAATCCAGTTCATAACCCCAGGACAATCCTTCCAATCTCTACAGTGCTGCACAGGGAGTAAGGGAGATACAAGTCTCCATTCTACAGTGTTGATACCTACATTGCAGGTTCCAGTGTGTGGGGGTAGTGGGTGGAGAGGGGAGCAGCCTCTGCAGGCCTGCTATCCTCTCACCCTCACCCCAGAGCAAATGGGAGGCAAGTGCATGAATCCTGGTGGAAAATAATTGGAGTCTTGACTTCTTCCCCAGCACACAATGGCCAGCACAGCTGTGTGGGGGCAGAGATGGGATGCTATCTTTGTCATGTCAATACCAATAGCAGATTACTTACCCCAGGAGCAAAGTGGGAGAACTGTGATTCAGAGACAATTCTCTCCTTTGTCTGCTCTTGGAATAGTGAATCCACACTCTACCCTTTACTCAGGGCAGACTGAGACCCTCATGAGCCAGCCCATGATTAGGTTATGCCGACCCTCGAGCTAGGGGTGTAACTTCCAGGTTGGGTAGACATACGTGCGCTAACTTTGATTGAGCTAGGACACTAAAAATAGAAGTATAGCTGCAGGGGCACAGGCAGTGGGATGAGGCAGATACTCCAGTATGTACCTAGGGTCCCAGGTAGGATTGTACTCAGGGCGACTAGCCCATACTGCCATATGCACTGCCATGGCTATGCTTCTATTTTTAGCACACTTGCTCAATCTGAACAATTCCATCTACCCGAGCCAGAAATTACACCTCCAGCTTGAAGTGTAGATGTACCCTAAGAACATCTGGACTCACATCTTACCCAGCCAAATCTTGCACTGAAGTGAAAGGGAGATATTGCCAGAGTACAAAAAAAAAAGGGAGAGAAGGGGTTCAAAAGGGAGCTACATAGATTTATGGAAGATGGGTCCATCAATGGCTATTTGCCAGGATGGGGAGGGATGGTGTCCCTAGCCTCTGTTTGCCAGATGCTGGGATTGGGTGACAGGGGATGGATCACTTGATGATAGCCTGTCTGTTCATTCCCTTTGGGGCACCTGGCATTGGCCACTGTCAGAGGACAGGATACTGGGCTTGATGGATCTTTCGACTGACCCATTATGGCCGTTCTTATGTAAAGGACTTCATGATTTTGCCAATTGCAAGTGTTGCTTGAGTAAGGTCTGATTTGGCTTCAATAGCCACTGACTCCAGTGGCTGTTGAAGATGTCTACACACAAGACTGGTCTCCAAGTGGTGAACAGAGCACTAACATGAGAGACTTCTCACTAGAAGGCAAAAAAGCAAAGTAATTCTGGCAAAGAGCTGGCCATTCTTCTACAGAGACTACCCCTATGGAGTTGAAGACATTGTTAAAAATATTGCCTCTATAAAGCTTTAAAAGCCAAAAAAAAAAATCATTCACATATTTGCAGGATGATGAAATTGAATCTATTAGTGCATCTGTTCAATCTACCTCTTTCAGACAAAACTCCATTACAAGGCCTTACTTATTTTATACCTTTTTATTCTACTGTGATTTGTAAGCTATCACATAAGAATTGCATACCTGATCATGTAAAAGAAAATATAAATTATCCCAAGAATAACAGACTACTGCAAGCTGTTAAGATTTCTGTAGGCTTGAAAAAAGAAAGACAAAAAACTTTGTACATTAACTAGAACTCAGAGTTTAAAATGCTGATGTGTTCAGTGTCCTGCTAGTCTCTCATGATTTTACTCTGGCCCTCCTTTCCCCTCCCCAAAAGCGCCTTGGAATAGTATAATCTTCCACAGTCCCAAGAATTAGTCATCACTTTGTCATGGGGGAAGAAAAAGCCATGAAAATGCAACATAAAAAAAGAAGGACTTGCATACACATTGTATCTGGCTTCATTCATACAGTCATTATACGGTCAAATGGCATCCAAGTCTCACTACAGCCAATGAAAACATGTTGCAGCTAAAGAAACAATATATTAAATAGATTGTAACCCCGGCATTCTAAAAATCAAGCTGCCAACTCTGCTTCTCCTGTGGAATACAGCCAGTTACGAACAACCACAGCTCATACTTTGGAAGCTTGAGTAGCCATTCTATAGGTTTTTCTTTAATGCTAAAGTAACCTGTGGTTTTGCAGGTTTTGCAACCAGTGGTATTTAAAATAATAAATACAGGCACTGGGGAATTCCGAGAAGGACTTGACATGGCCTCTACATCAAGTAATCAGCACTTGTTATCATGTGCTGGAGAGGAGAGGAGGGTGGTCTAGCAATTAGAACAGTGATTGGCAGACCCCATTACACGGTTAGAAACCTGAAGCACCAGCACCTCAGATACTAAAAATGTTCATACACGGTGTTTTGTAGGAAGGGGATTCAGGAAAAATTACTTCCCTACCCCCAGGCTATTTGGTCTTTGGTTCTGTGGACTAAATCTGTCCTGATCGGTCTTTAATTGAGTTCCAGGAGGGCTTGGCTACACTTAGAACGCTGCAGCTGCACTGCTGTAGCACTTCAGTGAAGACAGTACCTAGGCCACCAGAGGGGTTCTCCTGCCGGCCTAGGTACTCCATCTCCCCGAGAGGCGATAGCTAGGTAGATGGGAGAATTCTGCCATCAATCCAGCACCATCTACACTGGAGGTTAGTTTAGTTTAACTGAGTCACTTATGGGCATGGATCTTTCACACCCCTCAGAGACATAGTCATACTGACCTAATTTCCTAATGTAGATTAGGCCTGAGATGTCAATCAGGGCAGAAAGCTCACCTAACTAATCAACACACCCTCAGACAGAACACATTTATCCTTTTCTGTATATACACCGGACCCTCGCTAGAACGCGGGATTTGGGATCCATGTGTGGTACTGCGTTAACGCGGGGACCGCGTTAAAATGAATTGCAATTAAAGTAATTAAATTTGGGATCCATGGCCGCCACCGCATTATATGCGAATTCGCGCTATATAGACATGTGTTCTAGCGAGGGTCCGGTGTATTTGTTTGGGTTTTGCAGGATCATGTGCTGAACATATTAGGCCAGATTCTCAACAGATGTAAACTGACATAGCGCCATTAAACAGAGCTGTACTGACTTACACCAGCTGAGCATCTGGCCTATCATATGTTCAAAGTTTTAAGACTTACCGGTGGCTTCCCTGACCCCATTCTAAGAATTACACTGGAAATCCATGAAAAAGTGAAGAAATAAAAAAAAGATATTCCTTTCATTTCCTCCCACTCACAATTCCCTTTTTATGAGTCATGGGCTATTTTCACAAGGGAAAGGAGAAAATTAAAGGAAATGTTAATAGCCCAAAGTTTTTAGTTTAGAATCCCTGCTACTAAGATTTCTTGCATGATGTCTGATAAAGCCAGACTTTGTATTACCAGGTGTACTCCACTGAAGTCAACAGACTTGCACCTTTTTACACCTGGCTGAAATTGGCTCTGTGTTCTCTATCGGTCTAAGTATTCATAACATGCTCATCTCTGTGGTATCTGAGTATACTGCACATATATAGATTGAAGAGGTATTTGGTAAGACAGTGCAATATGTGAGATATGATATATGCATACAGATACATACTTCTGAACTGCCCTTGTGCTGGCTTGCTCTCTTGGTCTTTATTGGATGCAATAATCTGAACTGCATAGCTTTGATCTGGAATAAGACCTTGAATAATTGCTTTGGTTGCACTGTTTTGAAGAGTTAGTTGATTGGTTTTTCCACCTGCAAGGAAACAAAAGGAGAAATAAAATCAGCGGCATAGTAAATAGTGAATGCTCTGATAAGGTAAATTACTACATTTTAAACAACTTAAACGTATACTTAAGCTACATTAAGTACGGTAATGACCAAAGTCCAGTCACTCATCACTGGTTGTCTGTTCCAAACCCTTGTCCCTTTGGAATGACACAGAGGACACCCCAGAAAAGCAGGGAGCCAGGTGGGCTGACATACTGTGTCCTTAAAAGGATGATCTCATGGGATGTACATTTTCTCCAAAACCTAACTTGAATAACAGGTAAGGCCTGGCTATGTACACACATGTGAAAGCATGCACGCATGCGCGCACACACACACACACACACACACACACAGAGGAAAGGCCTACAGGAAATGGAGGTCCTGGAGAGGGGACAAAGTGAGACACAGGAGGGGAACTGGAAGGCCACCCTGGAAATTGAGCCATCTGAACTAGCAGAGACCTCTGTGGGCATTACTCTGTTCTGGAAGCAGTCCAGAGACTCATCCCCAACTGGGAATGTGGACATGAAATGAGAGGCTGGAGGAATAGGACATCATGAAGTAGACCTTGACTAGGAGTGAAAGGAGATGGCCAGGAGGTCTAGCTGGTATCGGCAGCATTCCAGAAGCTCTGAGGAGAAGTGTTGCAGTGACCCTGGGAGGCACAGATAGTAGAATGAACTATTGGGAGGAAAGCAGCTACTAGCTAACACCATGAACCGTGGAGAGTGGGAAAAATCTCTCCAGAGAAGCAGAGACTGCATTCACAAGCAGGGACAGTCCCAGAGTGCTGAAGCCAGAAGGACTGTGCTAGTGAAATGCAGAGGCCAGTGGGCCCAGTAAGACAGCCAGGAAGCCCAGCTCAAAGCCACTGTCAGGATCACATCTGGGATGTGGGCAGTCATGCCTAATGGTCAGAACCATGAGGGTGGCCAGATTAGAGCGGAGTCAAGCCGGAGTCAAGAATCAGGGCTCTGTGGGTGTATTTGAGACCAGAGCCACGGGTCAGAAGCCAAATGAAAGAGCCAATGGGGAGTTGGAGATGTAGTCAGGAAGTAGAGCCAGGGGTATTGAGGATGAGAAGGGAAGGAACTGGAAAGGGCACAAGAGTAGGCTGGATAGGAGCAGGCAGGGACTGGATGGGAGCAGGTACAGGAAGCAGGATCAAGCACAGCTGTGGCATGGGATGCATTGAGCAACAATAGATTTCTGGCTGCTACTGGCTCAAGTAGGAGTTTAAATCTGCCCTCCACCAGTCAGGAAGTGCAGTCAATCAGGCAGCCCCTGCCAGGTTCAGCTGTGCCCAGAGAGTTGCTTGGAGACTGACCCTGCTCTACCTGGATCCCTGACACCCACATGGAGAGAAGGGAAAAAAAGCAATTTGTAGTGAGTGGCAGCTATAGGTCTGTTCTTCTAATGAGGCCAAAGCAGAGCAACTGAAACAGGAAGGGGCAGTTTATAAGAGCAGGGAACTGAAGAACTGCAGGTAAGAAAAATCCAGTGCAGAAGTTAATCTGATCAAGCACACTTCAAGGGGCCAGCAGCTCTAAAAGAGTTTTGCTGCAACAAGACAGTCAACACATAGGAACTAGCTGCAGAAGAAGTCACAGTAGTTTTCAAGTGCCCTGGCTTAAAGGAATAGGAACCAGAAAAGGCTCTAAGAGGGGAGAGAGTCTTGCACAGGGTTAACTCAGCAGAGAAATGGATCATAGTGCAAAAGGATACAAACCAATGAGCACTGGACCCATGATCCGAGACACTAGGAATGAGGTGGGAGGAGCTACATATGGGGAACTAGCTGTGACACGGCTAGGCAGGTAATTGTGGGGAGGGAGGGAGTGAGCAGTCCATAAACTCAAAGCCTAAAAAGCAATTTTCAGCATGACTGAACCGTGAAGACTCATCTGGGATTTGAGTCTCCCACGATCAGTGGCAGGGTTCAAGCAGCTGGGAGTGAATTTCAAACTTTTTAAAATACTTAGGAAATAGTCCTCAAAGGACACATTAAAGGAGTTTGTTTTAGTTGTTAGGCAGAGGAAGGGAGTGGCCTAATAACTTTTCCCAAGCATGATCCAATAACCACTAACAAGGGCTCAGCAGCTGCATTTTGTGCATTTCACTACTCCTGCCTCAACCCATATGCAGGCTTTGAGTGCAGGGTGGTGGGCAGTAGGGCAAGAGGCACTGAAGTGGCACCAGCAGTGCGTCGTACTCAGCACTGCCCACCAGTGCTCACCACCCTCCCTTCTCCATCCTTTTGCTTACCACTACTAGACTGGGCCCTACTAAATCTACCACTGCTTTAACTGAACGTACAAACTATCCATATTGCAAACTACCTTGAGGATTAACATTTATTGGAGACCCTCTGCCGTCAGCGGACTGCCAAAGCATACCACATTCACACTATCAAAACTGCTTACACTCTTTTTCCTTTTGCTCATCTGACTCAGCGGCCATTCATTCCTTTGGAATTTAATACCTTTTCGCACAATAGCTGACTTAACTGCTTCATGTCACACACTGTTGCAACTTTTATTGGTTTGTGGTTTTTGGCACATTTGTATTGCTTTTATATATCACATGTCTGCTCATTTTAAGGTTGAAAGCCAGTGCAACAGTAGAATAGGGGGAGGAAAAAGAAAACTATCGCTTTCTCGTCAAGAAATTGCTACAGCTGTTCTTTTTCACTGTCCAATCTGTAAGCTACATTTTATTCTTCAAAGTAGATTATATATAAATGAAACAACAAAGTGCAAATGCAGTTTGTAGACCTCACATTTATAAATTTCAAATGAATACAGTGTGGATATATTGCAAAAATTTGTTTTTGGTTTCTTCAGCAGCACAGTTTATGAACATTTACCCTCTCCTGATAGGGGGTCTGTCGGATAAGGGCTACATTAAGCATGACTAAAATATTATGCAGACTGGAGAAGTTCAGAATCCACTAGTTCAGAATCTCTTAGCTGCATTGACAATGAAGCTATAAAAAATTATGCCAGCTAAGGAGCTGCCCCTCTGCCTTTTACTCACTTCCCTTGTTCTGACTGCCCAAAATTCCCATGGACATTCACAAAACTTCATCTACTGACTCTTTTGGGGCACTTGCTATTTCCCTGTATACGGCAAGCAGGACAGAGGAGGGAATGCTCACAGGGACAGCACCAGAGGTAGAGCTCGCTACCGATGATGAAGCACAGAAAGTATCAGTCAGTTGACTCCACCCCCTGGACACTCCAGACATCTGCATTCAGACTAGCCTCCAGCTGCAGTGTGGCAAGTTGGATTGATCTCCCTCCTGCTGGACAGCCAGAGCTCCGGGTTGTCCAGAGCCAGCTCAAAGTCCCCCAGCGTTGTGGAGTGAGCCCCAAAGCAATAGGCGGCTGCTTTCCTCCAGGTCACCATGACAGCATAATCACTGGACCTAAATGAACCAAATATGTCTATAGACAAATGTAAATATTTTTTACCTGAACTTGGAGTGACAAGAAGCTTAAATCCAGTAAATTTCCCTTTAGGGGCTTTCCATGAAATCTGTACACTGTCATGAGTGACTAGATTATACCTTAGTCTTGTTGGTGGAGCCACTGTAAGGAAAAAATAAAGAGATCTTACTGTACCATACAAAAAAAAGTATTTATATTAATTTTTAAATAAATGTTAAAGAAAATACTTAGGCAAACACACGCACACAAGTTTGACAACACAAAGGATGCAATTATTCTAAATGTCACATAAATCAGCTTATTAGTTTGTAAAATAATATTAATCCCCAAGGTGCCTTATTTCCCCCAAAGACATAGCCTTTAATTTACAGGGGGAAAAAAACAAAACTACTGACTTTACAAAAGACAGAGACAAATGGTGTTAGATGTTAAGACTCTAGTTTAGCAAGCAAAGCTGGTTATACAAAATGCTCTTTGTTAATGTATAGGAACTAAAATTGATCTTCCTTCTTATTTGGCAATATGCCTTTCCTAGCTCTTATGCCAAATATCATGGGTTTTTCATTTAAGTCACTCAGGGCCAAGTTTTCAAAGGCTTGTGTGGGCACAAATGTCCTTCTTGTATGTGTATTTTAGGTTGCAAGCAAGGGACAGGAAATAGCACATTTTTCAAAAGGGTGCGTGCAGAGCTGCAAAAATGGAGCATGCAAACTGGTTGGGTCATGGGCATGGCCTCAGTAGTTAATGCACATTCATCCTTATCAGAAACTAGAATTGTCCTGGGCCCCTCCACGGCTAACTTAGACGTATACAGGCTAACCAAGGTTCAGGCAAAGGCAATCCAGGCACTGTAGGTGAAGCCAGCCTCTACTGACTTGTGGATCATCAACTATAGTTCAACATAGTAGAAGTTGGAAAGGATGGAAACATGAAGGGATTGTGGGAGAAAGGGGTAGGTGGCATTTTAGGTGCCCAGGAACAAGCAGAAATTCCAGACCTGTGTGCTCTGAGGTGATCAGAGGAGCGGAGATGGCTGAAGAGAGGGAGGATGGCAAGGACTATCAGGGGCTCTTCACTTGAGTCAGCAAGGCAGTTGCATGCCTGGAATACTTTCCACTGTGTGCTTTTGGGCATGCAGCAGCAGTTATGGTACCGTACCGGTTCACTAGCTGACTCTAATATATTATTAGCATATGCCAGTGGTCTCCAACCTTTTTACGCCCAAGATCACTTTTTGAATTTAAGGGAAACCCAGGATCTACCCTGCCCCTTTCCTGAGGCCCTGTCCCTTCCCCAAAGCCCCACCCCACTCACTCCATCCTCCCCTCTCTCCATCACTCGCTCTCCCCCACCCTCACTCACTTTCACTGGGCTGGGGCATAGGGGTGGGGTGCACAAGGAGATGCGGGCTCTGGGCTGGGTTCACAGTGTGGGAGGGGGCTCTGGGATGAGCCTGGGGCAGGGAGTTGGGGTGCAGGAGCAGGTGAGGAGTGCAAGCTCTGGGAGGGAGTTTGGGTGCAGGAGGGGGCTCTGGACTGGGGCAGAGTGTTGGGGTGCAGGAGGGGGTGGAGTGCTGGCTCTGGGACGGGGGTCAGGGCTGGGGCAGAGTGTGTTGGTGCAGGAGGGGGTTCAGGGTGCAGGAGGGGGTTCAGGGTGCTGGCTCCAGGAGGGGGCTCAGGGCTGGGGTGCAGCCTCCCACCGGGCTGCACTTATCTCCGGCAGCTCCTGGTCGGCAGCACAGCATGGCTGCTGCTAAAGCAGGCTCCTTGCCTACCCAAGCCCCATGCTCCCAGAAGGAAGCAACGCACCCCTGCGGGGGGAGGGTGGCACATAGCTCCACACACTGCCCCTCTCTGCAAGCACTGCCCTCGCAGCTCCCATTGGTCGCAGCTCCCTATTCCCAGCCAATGGGAGCTGTGGGGGCGGTGCTTGCAGGCAGGAGCAGTGCATGGAGGGAGACCCCTGCCCTACTGCCCCTGGAGCCACACTGGCTGCTTCCGGGAGTGGCATGGGGCCGGTGCAGACAGGGAGCCTGTCTTAGGGAGATCACGATCGAATGGGAGATCTTCTATAATCGACCACTCGATTGCGATCAACTGGTTGGTGACCACGGGCATACGCTATGGTCTTGTAATGAGTTGTGGTTGCCCAGCCCTGTATGTACAGCCTGAATGATGTGCTATTTATGAAAATTGTCCTACCAGGCACCTAGGCAAGGTAACAGTACAGGAGAATCAGCCCTAGTCTACACTGCAGAGTTAGTTCGATGCAAGGAAGCTTACACTGACCTAACCCTGTAAGCGTCTACACTAAAATGTCGCTCCCACCAGCGTAACTCACCTGCTACACCAACTTAATAATTCCACCTCCACAAGAGGCGTAGTGCTTAGGTCGATGTAATTAGGTCAATGCAGTGTCAGTGTAGACACTGTGTTATTTATATTGACTGTTTCTGGCATTCAGAAGCCTTCCCACAATGCCCCGCACTGTCAGTTAAATCGGTGCAAGCGCTCCTGGTGAGGACACGCACCACCAACACAAGGAACATAGTGTGGACATGCAAACATGATTTAATTACTGCAGTGGCCGTACATCGATATAACTTAGATCGACTTAATTTTCTAGCGTGCACATGCCTCTTCCTCTTGCTGAGGGTATTTTGCTAGCTCAAGGGCAGAGGTACCTGCTACCAAACTACACTAGTCCAAATGGTTTACTCCAACAATTGGTTCTGTCCTGCCTATAAAATTGAGCATACATCCCAAAGGCCTCTGTCTTCACAATTCCAGATGGAAATGGCAGCAGAGGGCGGCTTCCTCCTGCCACTGCACAAATGGTTTCTAGACCTGAAGGCCCAGGATATACCACAGCAAACACCATGACTTAAAGATAGCATGTATCTTTTCTTTCTATTTTCTTTTAAGAAGTTTAATAATGTTTTAGTCTTTTTTTAGTTGTTGTTGGCCCAAACGTTGTTTCTGGTCCCAATTTCTACGATGAGCTAATATTTATCTTCTCCTGTGTTGTTTCTCGTTAAGATCCACAGACAGGTGTGATGAGTGCCAGAGCCCATGGAGATAAAGAGCTGCCAAGACACTCCCTCAGGCCTCACTAGTTCTCCCATTTCAGTCAATGGAGCTTTGGCAATTTACACCAGCTGGCCAAGCATTTTTTGTGATTCATGGTCATATCATCTAGTATTTTTCCCCCCTATTTGTTGCTTTTCTAAGAGGTGATAAAAATACTAGCTGACTTTTCTTTCATGTTGGTTTTGTTTGTTGGTTCAATTGTTTCTCAGTGTTAACAATGCTGCAATGTTAGAAGTTATCAAAATGTTAATCAAAGTTTAATGGTAAAGCTTTACTTCCTGCTATTGAGTTGTATCCAGCTTATTAGTTAGAGGGGCCTATTCTAGCAGAGTACACCAGCCTCAGTTATACTCCAGCCTTAAGAGCCAGAGGCAGCAAGGGAATGTGGAAGAGCCAAGACCAGCTTAGTCACATCGCAGCTGCTCTCAGGACACTGGAATTCAAGGGAGAGAAAAGTCAGAGGGAGAGTGGGAAGTGAGAGGCACAGAGACAATGAGTGTCAAAACAGCCTGGCACCCTGAAGACACTTTTCAAAATCTCTGCAATGAGCATGCATACAAACTATGCGCTCATGGATGGTGGGCATGATCTGGACAGGCCTAATCTCCGGACTGTCTGTCCACCCCAGTGGGGCTTTAGAAAATAGGCATTATTAGATTCAGAAGAATGAGCAGCTAAAAGTATCATTGCACACATACAACTAGTTCTTTGAAAATTTGGTGCACGCTGTTTTGTGATTAAAAGATCAAATATGAAATATTGTGCTAGCCAAGATACTGCAAGAACATTCAGCATATTGTAATTGTAATAAAATAACTGAAGCTGTGGTAGAAGCTGTGGTAAAAGTTTTAAAGACCAGAAAGGTTGCAGGTATGGATTACAGTCTTTAATTCATTCTCAAGATTCATAATGATTTACACATAGCTCAAGGATAGAATCAGTCAGTGCTGAATGAACCTAGAGTGATGAATCATGAGTACCAGTTCATGAAAATATGTAATTCCAATTATTTACTTTTTCAAAGCAACCATAAATAATCTTTGGGAAACCAGCTGTAAGATTCACAGGGATCCAGTGGCTAAGCACCAAGAATACAAATGCCAGCCAAGTGTGTCCTATACCATTGCAAGGGAAAATGAGCTCTGAAGCCCCCTTTTCTCCCATGTGTGACCTAAAGATTAAAAGAGCACTTTCTAACAAAGCAGTGTAGCTCTGACCTACTTGTAATTAGCCATCATCAAATCAGGTAAACTTTTGGAGCCTCTACAAAACCAAAATGAAAAAGGAGTACTTGTGGCACCTTAGAAACTAACAAATTTATTTGAGCATGTCTGACAATAACAAGCAAAGAAGGACATAATCACCAGATGTGTTTGTGCTTTCTATACAGCTACAATATGATAGACTACAAGACTTGTGCCAGAATAATCTTTACATAACTAGCTGATCTTTGCTAACCACTTATTCATTTTTGTGTCTAAATGTGGGGTAGCATGGGGGGAGGACATTTCCAGCCAGTAATTAATCATAGGGAGAAAAGAAGAGTTGTTCACGAAACAGATATTTAACTATGTCTTAGTTATGCAAAGACTAGTGTTCTGGCACAGAGAAGTACATATAACTAAGGAAGTTAAATCTAATATTTGGACAAACACAACAAAATATTGATGGGAATTACTACGTGGTCACCAACCTGAAGAGGAAATCTTTATTTCTGAAGACCTTTATTGTCTGTGGAACAAAATTTCACTTCTTGCAGAAAGAAAAAAAAATGAATCCAAACTGAATCCGTTAACTGATAAAAATCAGTAGTGAGAGCTTGTTAAGGGGTTTTACAGGAATGAGCAAATGAATGGCTGTCAGCAACATTCAAGCAATCACCCAAAAAGAGACTAAAGACAAGTTCAAGGCCTTGGTTTATGCAGCTACATAGAAGTTAGCTATTTTTGTTAGTGCTCCAGATACATTATTCTTGAGGACAAACAGGAAAACAAAGCTTTGAAATACTCAGTATTCTAAAAGGAGGACAAAAATTCTCAAGTATATAGCTGTCAAACTGTATAAAGCTGGCAATACTAGTTGCACTTGCTAGAATCTAATTTTATATTGTTATAAAAATAAAAAAAATGGATTAAATTGAACAAATTAATATTCCACCAAAATTATCTAGCATATACATTAGCAGCATATGGAAATTCTCACAACATGAAGTACAATCACCATCTTGTATATGTAAAAGCAAATTCTTAAATTAACACCCCAATTATTGAACGGATAAATGGGAACTCTAATGAGAGCAGACATATTTTCCTTAGTTGTGATGGTTTATTAACCAGTGTTGTTTTGCTGGGAGTAAATTTTTCATTATTTTAATAGACTGGACAAGAAGCTCCAATATTTTTAAAGTAACTTTATCTGTTGAGCAAGAAAAAAAAAATTCCAAACTAAATGTGAGGGAGTAATTAAAATATTGAGTGAAAGCAGAGGGATAATAAAGGATTTGGAAGGCAGCTAGTAAATGCATCACATCAAACTGGGAGCTCAACAAATGAAAAGGATTAAAACATTAAAATCTGAAAGTTACATTTTAAGTTATCAGTGACCAACAAATAATAATAATTGGATAATTCATGAGCAAGATGGTGGAATGACTCAGCAGAAAACAATCTCACTCAGCAGGGTCTGTGTCTCAAAGGATAACATTCATAACTAGAAAGTAATATAAATTAATGTGTGGAAAAGGGATCACAGGATTGGAATAAAACCTCAAATGTGAAACTAGACCTTCCCAAACATATTCTCTCTTTCTCCTAAGGAATCAATTTATAGTTCTTCCCCAAAGCGCTTGTGCAAGATGAAACTAACCCCCTATTTTTCCTGCACCTTGTTACAATGTGTTATTTCTTTAATTGCTCAAACATACTATATCATTTATAGTTAGCCAGCTGTTACAAGGAGGAGGAAGTAAATCGTTTATTGCAAAGGGAAAAAGGAAAAACTTTGTCAACAAAGGCCAAAAGGAGAGATTCAGAGGACATGTTACTACTTTAAACGTAGCAAAAGAATATTCTCAACTCATACTCCACAGGCTACGGATCCATATACCCCATGATTCAATAATATGATGGTGCGGCCTACATTTTCTGAGACCTGCATTTGATTTTAGTGTGCAATTTATGTCCACTGCTAACATATGACTGATTTAAAAAACAAACAAACTAACCTCATTTAAAATGTTTGATTTTCAAAGCAATTTAGGGGATTTAAACACACCTTCCACTGAGTTTACTTTTAGATGTATCTGAATCCCCAAAACAGTTTTGAAAATCTGAACCATATGTAGTGACAATCAGGTCCAGACACCCCACAGGGAGAACAGGGGGTCTGGACCCCTCAAGAATAAGCAATTGAATCAACTGATTGTATAGAATATTACCGCACTATTAAAAAAAAGTGTAATCAAGTATGGTGTCCTATAAAAACCGGTGACACACTGGTCCCGAAAATCATTGTGTGATGGATGGATGAGTTGTGTACAAAGAGTTACATGTGTGTGCTGGAGATATGTTATTAAAATGTGTTTGGGAGGCAGTGCATAAACCCAGCATGTGCTAGACAAAAGAATGTGGATTTATTTGTCTGACTGACTTGACTGCAGGCAGAGGACAATAAAAGTACATTTACATATATGGTAAACAAAGCCATCAAGTTAACAAGTGAGGGGAGAAGACAGTTTAGCAATTGCTCTGGGGACAGAATCTGCACCCTAGAAAGCCTTCCTGGCTCTTGAGGCAGTGACAATAGACTTTGGGTAACATAAGGGGAGCAAAATGACATTTTAGTTATCCACTGCTTAGGGGACATGGGGAAAAAGCACCTTGTGATCCTGAGAAAGTTGGATCCCCTGGCCAGAAAGGCTAGAGATGCTGTTAACTTTAAGTAAATAAGCAAACTGCATAGGCAAAAATTTTAACTAACTAAAATTAAGTTTTAGTCACTAGATAGTATGTTTTATTTTGTTTGTAACCAAACTGGTCTCTTTTTCTCTTGTTCAATATCACTTAAATCTCTGTTCTTTGTTAATAAACTTATTTTTAGTTTTACTATAAAGTATCTACGGTATCCAAGTGCAGTTATATTAAAATGAAGTGTGAGTCTTCAGCTAACCTAACAGCCTGGTGTGTGCACTGTCTCTTGGAAGGCTGTGAACTTAATAAGTTCTATGAGTGCCCAGTGAGAGGGACTGGACACCGCAGAGAGATGTCTCGGGAGGAACTGGGGTTCACTGATGGTTGCCTGCAGGCAAGGTTTAGACTGGCAGAGTCCCGAGGAGTTTGTTGGCAATGCAGAGAGGCTGGAGTGTCAGGGAGCTGACACATATCTTAGCAGCAGCAAAGCTCTCAACTTGCTGAGGCAGAAGAGTAACACAATGGCTTACAGTTCTGGGAGTCCTGAGCTGAATGTCACATATGTGTCAAGTGTAAGATATACAGACACATATATAATCATGTGCTTCACTTCGACTCATTAAGTCACAAGCATTTGGAGGCTAAATTTCTGTTTAGAATAGGTGCACAGAGGTAGTAGAAAGGCACAGTGAACCCCCTTCCTCTACAATAAATACTACAGCTAATATTCCCCACATTCTGGGAAGTTTGGTTAGTGCACCTAATGATGTTCCATAGCCCGAAGGGGGCATGGTCCCCCCAAGGAGAAGCACCGGAATGGGAGGGGCTAGGGGGCCATGGCTCTCCCACTTTTTAATGGCCGTAAGGGTAAGCAACTGGGGAAAGAGGGTGAAGAGGAGTGAGTGGGCGGGGGGGCGAGGCTTGAGGAAAAGGGACAGTGCGTGGTCAGGGGCTTGGAGAGAAAGGGCAGCACAAGGGCAGGGACATGGTTTGGGTGCCTGTAGCCCCCCCAGATTTAGGGCTCTTCCACGGCTCCTGCCCCCAAGCAGTCAGCCAGCATCAAAGACCATTTGCAGATTGAGCAATGTCAGTAGCAGTATATGCATCTGTTAAGCATGCTCTTCCTGTGACCCCAGAGCCATTTCTGCTTGTAACTATCCTCTGGAGATAGAAAACCTAGGCACCTCTGCCTATCCACCGACTGTTTTCATGCATAAACATACAACCCAACACTCCTTTCAGTGGGAAAGAGAGGGCCAAATTCCACTCTGTTATGCCTGTGCAACCTCAACTGAAGTCAAGGGGGTTGCATGAGCATAGCCAAGAGCAGAACTGGTCCTATTCTTTCGTGCTTTCAAAGCAAAGGTTGGTTTGGAAGGAAAACACACTAGGACAGACTTGAGACCACTGTCAAGACCACACAGGATCATTTTTAAGCTTAGCAATACCAACAGTATATTTTTAAATAGTAATACATAAGATATAGACACAATGCAAACAAAAAGGGGTGCATGAACAATCATGACACTTGGCAGCCCAGGGCAGCAGGGCCTCATACCACCCTATATAATGTAATGATGGTATTAGCTACAGTTCCAACAAAGCAGCAATATGTATTCCATGCAAGTTCAGTGTCCCACTGCAGAATGATCATTCCCCCACAAATGCATTTGCTTAAAAAGTAGTAACATCAATATTTTATAGCTACATTTAAGTAAACAGAATGAAGTTTTTTCCTATAACCCCATTTTCAGACATTTTAACTATACAGATAAATAAGAGCAACCTTCCTCCTAAGACACTTCAGTTCAGAGAACGTGTGAAAATGAGTCAGGAAGAGCTAGACCCCGATGATGTTCCCTTTGAAGTCACGGCAAAACTCCCATTGGTGTCAATAATGCTGTACTATCCCCTTAGCAAAGGGAAAACACTATTGCATATGTAAAAGGGGAAACCCACTTCTGCACATCAGAGTGATCTAATGAAAAAGCACTGCTGTCTTATATATCAATTACCTTGACCCTGAACATGACTGATGAGATGTACTGCCAAAAAAGCCAAGAGGAACCAGCTGTGTATCTTGTATCGACAAACCTTCATCCTGGATACACGTAGTATCAGCAAGTCTGAAAACATACAGAACAGAAATATTTATCAAGCCTGTAAACCTAGAACATTCACTTAAATGAAAAATCAAGGGTCAAGTCATGGTTCCATCATATCAATTAGAGTTTTGGCATTGACTTCAAATGGGACCAGGATTTCACCCACAAACTCTGGTTAGTAACTAAAGCACTTTTCCTTGGGAAAGGCTGAGGAATTATTTGAGCATTTATTTCACTCTCCAAAGTTGCATTCTGACAAAGCAACAGCCAATCTCCAAATCTTGTCAGGAAAAGGGTTGGAGCCTATGAAGTTAAAAGCTGAGGACAATTTTTTCAAAAGTGCCCCAATTTCAGGTGCTGAATCCCTTTGGAAATCTGCTTCATATCCTTTGTGGAGCAGACAGGGAGAGTGTTGGGAACAGAAACTGCTATAATGACAAAATAAAACCTCTCTTGTTCCAAAATGAGCTTTAAAAAAAAAAAGAGAGAGAGAGAGACACACACAACGGTGTCCTAACTGAGCATCCCTATGAATGTCAGGCCATGTAATATGGACCAATGCTGCCCAGACAGAGTATCAAGGCATCTGAAAGAAGGATTCTATGACCACAAATACAGTAATAATTACAATTTAATATCTGCTTTGCATCCACTCCTCTGAAAGTGATTCCTTTAACAATAGGATCATGGGGTAACAGGTTTATGGTCTATAATGGCTTCACAAATGTGCACAGTTTATAAGTAAATAGATGGATTTTCCTAATTGCCAGACCTGCAAACTCAGCCAGGAACCCATTTATCAGTGCATTTACTGTTTAACTGACGTGTGCTCTTCTAGTAAGGGGGTAAAAATTGCACAGTCAATTGAGTTAACAATTCTGCCGATGAGTCACAATCCAGTTCACTCTCCCATAGCCCTGGAGAAGCCACTGAGCCAATTCTCTTCTACTGAAGTTTTTAATACCACTTTTATCACTCAAGTATCTGATAATTGGGGTAAAAGATCATTTTGTCACTAAAGCAAGCAGATATGGCTCAGAATACACACTGGGAATAGACCATTTTTGTACAGTCACTTTTTATTTTAAAGTGTTGACATGGTTAGAAGAGACTTGCTTTGAAATACACTTAAACAATATGAATTCATCATCTGAACTTGGCCCATATACAATTTATACTATTACAATTGTTGAATAATTGTAACCCCTCTCATAAATAAAAAATAGCAAATTCTTGATTATATTTAATTGTTTATCAAATATTTATAAAGGCACAGATTTAGAAACAACTTTGATATATATGTTCTGCTTTGCAACTTCCTCCTCTCTGCTTCCCACCTCACTCCTCTACAATCTCCCCATAGTACCACCAATAAAAAAACCCCACAAACAAACACAAACTTCCTGGTGACCTGTACTGAGTGGGTCACTCCCCTCTTCGACTCTCTTAGCTAACTCCCTTTCACATTAAAGCTCCTCACCCTCACAGTTGTACTGTGGCCTACCTTTGATCTCACTCTTTACCACTCTTCTTCATTACCTAACTCCCTCCCCTTTGCCAACACCTAAGAACATAAAAATAGCCACCCTGGGTCAGATCAATGGTCTATCTAACCCAATAGTCGGTCTTCTGACAGTTGCCAATGACAGGTGCTTTAAAAGGAATGACCAGAACAGGGCAACTATTGAGTGATCCATCCCGTCATCCAGTCCCAACTTCTGTCAGTTGGAGACTTAGGGACACCCAGAGCATGGGGTTGCATCCCTAACCATCTTGGCTACTAGCCATTGGTGAACCTGTTCTATATAAAATATCTAATTAATTTTGGACCACCATGTTATTTCATTGGCAATCAATTAACTTTAGTTAGACTAGGACCAAAACCTCTAGTCTAGACAAGTTTCAGAGCTTTGATTTGTCCTCTTCATATATCCCAATCTTGCAAACACTTTCTTCAAAAGGGATTGTGGCTAGTGAATGCTATGCCTGATAGCCTTTGCAAGGTCATACCATTAGCTCAGCATGACAGTTTTTGTACTGCATTAACTATATCGGTTTAGAAACAGATACAGTCTAACGTCAGTACTGGGCAAATTAGCTGAAACAATAGTAAAGAAAGGAATTGTCAGATACATAGAAGAACATAAATTGTTGGGCAAAAGTCAACCTGGTTACTGTAAATGGAAATCATGTCTTACTAATCTATTAGAGTTCTTTGAAGGGGTCAACAAAATGTTGACAAGGGGGATCCAGTGGACATAGTGTACTTAGATTTCCAGAAAGCCTTTGACAAGGTCCCTCACCAAAGGCTCTTAAGTAAATTAAGTTGTCATGGGATAAGAGGGAAGATCCTTTCATGGATTGAGAACGGTTTAAAAGACAGGGAACAAAGGGTAGGAATAAATGGTAAATTTTCAGAATGGAGAGGGGTAACTAGTGGTGTTTCCAAAGGGTCAGTTCTGGGACCAATCCTATTCAACTTATTCATAAATGATCTGGAGAAAGAGGTAAACAGTGAGGTGGCAAAGTTTGCAGACGATACTAAACTGCTCAAGATAGTTAAGACCAAAGCAAACCATGAAGAACTTCAAAAAGATCTCACAAAACTAAGTGACTGGGCAACAAAATGGCAAATGAAATTTAATGTGGATAAATGTAAAGTAATGCACATTGGAAAAAATAACCCCAGCTATACATACGATATGATGGGAGCTAATTTAGCTACAGCTAATCAGGAAAGAGATCTTGGAGTCATTGTGGATAGTTCTCTGAAGACGTCCATGCAGTGCGCAGCGGCAGTCAAAAAAGCAAACAGGATGTTAGGAATCATTTAAAAAGGGATAGAGAATAAGACAGAGAATATCTTCTAGGCCTTATATAAATCCATGGTACGCTCACATCTTGAATACTGTGTACAGATGTGGTCTCCTCATCTCAAAAAAGATATACTGACAATAGAAAAGGTTCAGAGAAGGGCAACTAAAATGATTAGGGGGTTGGAACAGGTCCCATATGAGGAGAGATTAAAGAGGCTAGGACTTTTCAACTTGGAAAAGAGGAGACTAAAGGGAGATATGATAGAGATATATAAAACCATGAGTGATGTGGAGAAAGTGAATAAGAAAAAGTTATTTACTTGTTCCCATAATATAAGAACTAGGGGCCACCAAATGAAATTAATGGGCAGCAGCTTTAAAACAAATAAAAGGACGTTCTTCTTTACACAGTGCATAGTCAACCTGTGGAACTCCTTGCCTGAGGAGGTTGTGAAGGCTAGGACTATAACAGGGTTTAAAAGAGAACTAGATAAATTCATGGAGGTTATGTTCATTAATGGCTATTAGCCAGGCTAAGTAAGGAATGGTGTCCCTAGCCTCTGTTTGTCAGAGGGTTGAGATGGATGGCAGGAGAGAGATCACTTGATCATTACCTGTTGGTTCACTCCCTCTGGGACACCCGGCATTGGCCACTGTCAGCAGACAGGATACTGGGCTGGATGGACCTTTGGTCTGACCCAGTATGGCCATTCTTAGGTTCTTATGTTCTTAGTTAAAGCAGTACAACCCCCTCGGGTGTGGATGCAGGTATACAGGTTCCTATATGGATATAATTTCCATTCTGTACCAATATAAGCACCTCTATGCCAGCATAGCAGTGTCCACACTAGAATCATAGAATATCAGGGTTGGAAGAGACCTCAGGAGGTCATCTAGTCCAATCCCCTGCCCAAAGCAGGACCAACACCAACTAAATCATCCCAGCCAGGGCTTTGTCAAGCCAGGCCTTAAAAACCTCTAAGGAAGGAGATTCCACCACCTCCCTAGGGAACCCACTCCAGGGCTTCACCACCTAGGCAGTTGTTAAAGCTGTACTGGAACTGTGTTCAGACAAGCTTACACTGTAAGCGCCTCAAGCCAGGGACACAGTCTGCTCTGTGATTTAGACAGCAATGGGCATGCTGTCAGCACTCAGCAAATAACTGGAGGATAATAAAGTACCAGCTCCTAGCTAAAAACCGGACTGTGAAATGTGTGGCAGTTGGGATCAGGCCCAATCCGAAATGAACAGGTACCAGGAAGCTAAAGGGTGATTTCAGTAGCCTGCATAGACCAGGGATTACTATTGGGAAATAATGCAACGCAGCATCAATCCACACACAACGCGGATTTCTCTGCTCACGTTGCCCCCAGCGCACAGGCCGGATCCTTGTTACTGCTGAGGGCCGACTAAAGGCGAGGCCAAGGGCTCGGGGAAAGTAACTGCGCCCCGGAGCGGCGAGTGGAGCAAGCCCCTTACCCCAGGCTCCTGCCGGGGCGCTCAGACGGCTTTGGTGTTCGCTGTTTCCGGCCTCCCCCCAGCCCAGCCCAGCCCAGCCCGCCCCCGGGTGTCTGCGGGCTGACTCGCTTCACGTGTCACCCCTCCGGGGAGGTGTTCTTGGCAAACCTATAGGGAGGGGGCGTCTCTGCGGAGGCTAGGCAGTCCCGCAGCAGTCGCCCCCGGGCGGGGCTGCGGATCCCCGTGGAATGGGTGGCCCCGGGGTGCAAACTCCTCTCTGCAGAGCTCCGGCACGATGGAAAACGGCACCGAGGGCGGGCGTGTGTTTCCTCCCTGTGCGGAGCTCGGCAAAGGAGCGGGCGGGGGGGGGGATCCCTGGCAAAGCCTCTGATCTCCTATCAGCGCCCTCTGGAGACCGAGGAGACACCCCTCGATTACAGGCGAACCCCGGCGAGGAACTGCGAGCGCACGCCCAGGCGGACAAGTCACAAAACCCGGGCGTGGGGGGACGAAGGACAGTAAAGTCTGTGTCGTGCCGGTCAGCCCTGGGGAGCTGGTGCACCCGGCCGGCGAGGAAGTGAAGCCCTGGGAGAGCCAGAGACACTGATACAGGATGCCACGTTTTGCAGAAGATTCTATGGATTTTTCTTTTCCATTTCAGCCCCCTTTCGCCTAAGGCTTCCCCGCGCCACTCACCTACAGCTTCCTCTCCTGGCTGGCAAGCCATCAATCAATCACATCCACTACCCATCACTGACTCTTTCAGGTGCCACAAGTACTCCTTTTCTTTTTGACTCTTTCCTGCTTCTCCTTTGCTTATGGCCAACAAAAGTCTGAATTTTGCAGGTGGCAGATAATTATCATGATCAGTATCAACTCGGGTTGTTACCCTAGGTATTGTACAAGAGTCATCAGCTTTTAAACTACCTCCCCCCGCAAATGTAAAAAAAGTGTGACAAAATAAAATCAAACAGACCTTTGTAGTCATGAGTGGTTTAGTTGCTTGGCGAGGAAGCGTAGCTTTGCCTGGGAGAAATCACCCTTTGCTAATACACACTCCTTCTTTCCCTCCTTAATGTGGGTGTTACTCTGCCTCTAAAAGTTTCTTTCCACCCTCCAGCTGCTAGTTCCTTCACAGCATGATCTGATAAGAAGAAAGGGTAGAGAAACAAGGGAGCCAATTATAAAGCAGAAGGTGGAAGGAAGAGGAAAAAGAGGAGGGGGGGGGCTGAAGAGTCACTGATATCCAGCCAACCCCTCCCCAGCCAGCTCTAACTCAGGATTTCAGAGAATGAATCCTTGGACTGGTGCAATTCCAGGTGTATACTGGAAATCTGAACTGAAGGGAATTTAGCCTTTTAATTTAAAGGAAACATTAGATGCTGTTGGGGGAATGGCATTAAAAGTACATTTTGGGGGTGGAGCTCAAGCAACCCTATTTTTTCCCAAGTACTGTAGTTTTCATTGTGTCAATTATATGATGCCTCTTCCTTTGTGTTTTGTTTCCTTTCAATTTACATTTCCTTCCCCCAAAGTTACTGCTGTAGATTTAAATAATAATTTTAAAAGATGCCTAATCAAGACTTGAGGTGCCCTAATACATCATTCATAATACAATAAGTTTCCTGTGCTATTTGGAATCCAAATGGTCTTGGCACATGTTATAATTCAGATCTAGACAAGCCATTTGGCAAATAGGCCTCCTGAACACCTTAGTCATGGTCTGTCTATGGCCCTAGGATTGGTCCTGCAGACTCATTCACAAGTCATTTTATGGGCAGGAATATTTTCTCTGAGCTATAATTGCTTCAGAGGGGAGTTCTTTAATTCACTCCCTTTCAAAATCATATTGCATAGCAAATGTTAAAAATATTCAAAGGGAAAATACCAAAATGTGGGGATTTTATTCTTGTTATACCCTTAGACTTTCTATTATATCCCATATAGACTTCTATCCATTATGGTCATTTCTTTGTATTCTGCTACATTGTGGGACGTGCAATAGCTAACACTTTGTGCCACTTGAGAAAAAAGCCCCCTGCATTATGTGAGCCCTCTAAAGCAATAATGTGACAGTGCCCTGGGTTGCAGTCACTGTCCCAAAGAATATCATAACTTCAGCCACTAAACTACTTGTGCAGCAGGGGGGAAAGTATACAGGAGAAGGGGAGGGAGATGGGCCGATCTAGTAATAGATCCCTGAAGCCTTTGTAAAGGTGGTGAGAGAAATCAACCCAGTTTATGCTTGGTTGCAGCTTCGTGTGCAGTCCATAATAAAGTTGGAGCTCATTTGAAGGCACTTCAAGGAGCAAAGTCTGGCTCTCTTTAATAAATAAATAAATAAAATAAAAATATCTGGTAGCAGGCAAAATGCATGAGCACCACCATGTGGCTGCATCCAGCCAGGTTCCTGTACTAAGTAGCCATGAGAGCAAATGTCACCTATCATACCAATGACTAAACATTGGAACAGCCTGTGAACAAATCTACACTTCAATTGTAAGCCACCTATCTACAGCAGAAATAGTTTTTAAAAAATCCCTTCCATGTGTACAAAGCATCTATTTTAAAGGAACACTACCACGTTAAAAAGGATGGATCTGCTTCTGACCTCACACAGGTTTTTTATTGCATAACTCCATTGGCTTTATTTATAATAATCTCTCTTCCTGATTTACACCCCTGTATGTGCAATTAAAACCAAGGCCCCCCCCCTTCTCTTTTTATTTGTTTTTTAGAATTAGTGTTCATTGTTTACACTTCACTATGCTTGGTCAGTGAAACACCACAGAATAGCAGAGTCACAACAGAGCTGGCTGTTTGAGTTTCTAGAACTAGTTGAGCATTTACGCTATTTAAAAACTGCTTTTACTGAAAATTTCTCTTCATTTTAGGTTTTGTAAAACCCTTTGAAAATAAAACAAGTATTGGGCCATAGCGTGCCTACCCTATATGCAAATGCATGTAAACATGTCCACTGTTGACATATGAACAAAATTCTTAATTGACTGTCACTATTGACGCAAACAACCTGTTTACACTGAGGTCCAAACTTGCTTCCACTGAAGTCAATGGGAGTTTTAATGAGAGCAGGATTGGACCCTAGGTCTTTATCTTCAGCTTGTGTAAATTGGCCAAGCTTCATTGATTTCAAAGGAGCAGAGCAATACCAATTTACACCAGCTGACGATCTAGCCCATTATTTCAAAGCTATTCTTTGAACACGATTTGCTTGGACAGTATGGATCATACAAAATATATGGGAGTTTTTAAAAACCAGAGTTAGAAATGGGTCCACACGATGAACAAAGGTTGGGATCCACAAAGATCCTTCAGCACCTAAACCCCAGGCTTTGGCTTCACTGCAATCCATAAAACTCCCAATGAACCCTGTAGGCACCTAAACTCACGTGGTGCCTCAGTTTTCAGAGTAAAAATTCCTGCAGAGTCATAATAATCTGTCAGCTCTGAATATCTCTTAGGGCTAACACAGGTTGACCCTGGGGATCTCTGCTTTGGGTCTACGAGAAGGCCAATCAGCAAAAAAGATGAGAAATTTTCTTGTCAGCTATTTTAAATTCCTTCTTCCAGAATTCAAGCTGATGAGATAAGCCCTTTTGCACACAGCCTCTTCATGGGCATAAGGGAGCAATTATTAAAGTTTTTGTATTGTGATGTCCCACAATGGCCCGTGTGATAAAGAAATTGTAAGTTTTTGTTTTGTAATTGTAAACAGTGTTTCCTCTGAAACTGGGAGCCCAGTCAGGAGTGATTGTCTCCTGCCGATGAAGAAGGCCTATCAAAACTAAATGGGCCATACAAAAACTTTAATAATTGCTCCCTTATGCCCATGAAGAGGCTATGTGCAAAAGGGCTTATCTCATCAGCTTGAATTCTGGAAGAAGGCATTTAAAATAGCTGACAAGAAAATTTCTGATCTTTTTTGCTGTTTGGGCTTCTCGCAGACCCCAAAGCAGAGATCCCCAGGGTCAACCTGCGTTAGCCCTAAGAGATATTCAGAGCTGACAGATTACTACAACTCTGTTACCTTTTAAAAACTATAGACTGTAACTGATTAGCATGTATATGTTTGCCTGCGTTAACCTTGTAATAATGCTCATTTCTTTTCTTAGTTAATAAAACCTTAGAAAGTTTACTATAGGACTGGCTACAAGTGTTGTCTTTCATGTAAGATCTAAGATACAGATTAACTTAGGGCAAGTGACTGGTCTCTTAGGACTGGAAGCAACCTCAATATTTTGTGATCTTTGGTGTACAGCAATTACCTATCACTATGTCCAACCTGCCTGGGTGGCAAGATAGACTGGAATGTCCAAGAGGACTGTCCGTGACTCCAGGGTAAGACTGATATAGTGTGTTAGGAGTTCACATTTGTGACTGTGTTGGTGAGATCTAATTTTAGTTCACTAGTTTCGGGGGGGGGGGGGGGTCTGTGCTCTACTTCTTGACAGTTTCCCTGCAGTTGGCATCATGGTCATGACTCACTCCAGACAGCACGACACGCACCCAGGACACTAGGGTGCAGTCCTCCTAGTCCAATGACTTTCATTATTTGTCCACAGTGGAACAGCTTAGACAGGACAGATTGAGGCAGCCCCCCAGTCAGAATACCTGATAGCTCGGCAGTTACGGCATGTTCCCTAAGAGGTGGCCTTTCTCCCACTTTGGCAGAGAAGGGGGAAATTGAAACTGGGTGTCCCACATCCCTGGGTCTGACTGGTCTAACCACTGGGCTAAAAGTTAAGGTGGGTGGCACCACCACCACTTCCTCCTCTAGCTGTTGTGTGGAATGAGGTAGGCACTGAGTCCCACAAGAAACTCCTTAGCCACCTAACCTGCTTGACTTTGGGTAGCAGGTTCCCATTTGTGCATCTCTAAGCAGGATTAGGCGCCTATCTCTGGGAGAGGGGTGGGGGCTTAGCACATGCCCCTCATCATCATCTTCCACTGGATACTTTAGGTGGCTCCCTGCCTTGGATGCTGGCTTTTGTGGTTCACTCTTAGCCCCTATCTCTCCCCATTCATTGTAAAGGGATCCTAGGTGCCTGGCTCAGGCTTTATGGATTGCAGTGTTGTTCCTGTGATTTTCTAGGCCTCTAAAAGTTAGGCATTGTGACATTCAGTGTTGCAAAGCCTAAGTCCCTTCATGGATCCCACCTGAAGTGCCAATGTAGAAGGATCATAAAGGATGGAATAACCATGGAAGCGTGGAAGGTTTTGATTAAGAATGAACATGACTAAAAAGCTAATTGTAAAACTGAGCCAAGTATTGTGTACATGGAAATAGTATTCAATTGAAACCAGTTAGAACGGAAGACAACTACTAGATAAACTCGGGGGGGGGGGAGAGGATTTGCATAATTATAGACTCACCACTTTTTAAAATGTGGGCTTTTTTATTTCTCTCAGTCTCCCTGATCCACAGATTAAAAATATGTTAATTGGCCGTGATGTTCATTTTGGAACTTGTTTATTTTGTATTTCAAAAAAATTGCAAACAATTTGAAATAAACTGGGCCTTTACTGTAGTGAGAGAAGCCAAGTGACTAGTGATTTTTGTACTCCTTTCTTGGGAGGCCTTAAAGAGGGCCTAATTTTTAGAAAGTATTGAGCACCCTCCTGCTAAAAAAAACCAGCCCCTTTTACGGTATCTCAAGATGAGCCCCCAAAAGTCAACACATCAAAAAAATCACTAGTCACTTTTAAAAATCTTGCCCAGGGAGTTTTACTAAGGTTTGCAAAACTAGGCCTAATTGCATGACTCCAGTTAACATTCCTGGGATTTTAATTTTGTATCAAGAGAACAGAATACACACAAAGAGAAAGCTAACGTTTGAAATTAAGTTACAGCGCATTACATCTACCTTAAAAATTTGAAATTCTGATTAAGAAGCATGATAGTTCCCACCAGCACTCTTCTGAAGTGGGTTTGCCAAGATCAGTATTTAATCACTTGTGATAATGACATTATTTATGAAGTTGTACGCTCAGAGACTTGAGGATGCTTTCAAAATCTATTTTTACAGCACATAAGTGATTTAATTTAACCCATCTCAAATCAATAGCAAAAATTCTATTAAAAAACATAATTGTGATATACCATATTTGATCTATTGGCCTTGCATACAATTT